GATTAAAGGGTTCCGCTCAGAAATTGAAAGACACTGTGTGAGTCAATCTCAGGCCCGGATATTCCTACCCACAACTGTGAAAATATTTCCTTTGTAAACAAATATCCTCGCCCACGATACTGCATTATGGTGCCATTACCAGTGCAGAGGATCAAGCGATCAAATAGTAATAATAAGGCTAAGATTCGGACATAATTGAGCCTGGTTGGAATGTGCCCCGCATTTTACTCTCACTCAGAACCACTGCGGTTTGAATGCGTGACCGCTTTGAATAATTTTGAATGCGCTTAAAATGACATGCGGTGGGCAGTCGATGTATAAGTCAGTGCATTTATCCTCCCATACATGTGTGGCACCAATTAACCGACCCTAGAAGGATGGAAGTCCTTGGTGGCCCGGGCGGGTAGCGATGATTCGTTCTCGAATAGTGCGGAATAGCGTGCCACTTGCCTCTATACCACCTTCGTCCCAATAATAACTACCATTAAAAAGGAATAAAGACTACGAGCCCCGATCCCTCTAATTTCAATAACGATAACAGTAAAATAATAATTTTGAAGAAAACGGAGGCAGGAACTAAAGCGAAGTTTTAACCTAGGACCGTTTCAGGGACTCCCATATGTTCCTCAACGGGGTACCAGCTACATAGCTGGCGAACTGATGAATGTGAGGGAAATTCCGCCAACACTCGTGCCTACGATTACGAATACATGACTCTTAAGTTTGAAAATTTGATGACTAACTTCCACCAAACAAACTATGTTGAATGCATTTGTTCGAAGCGAGAGCTGTCATTCTCCGAAACCTGCTGCTTTAGGTTTTTCCCTTTATTTTCCCTCAAGAGCTCACCTCACTGACTCATAAAATACCACTTTTGTAGTGTTACCTCCTCGACGAGTTCAAGTTTGACTCAAAGTCTCCAGTGGCACTTTAGTCATTGCAGCAGAGTTCGCTCTGTTCTTTGGAATCACTGTAGTACCGTACTCCTGTGTAGGAAAAGAACATGACATTGATGAATGATGATTATATCGCTCCAAAGAGATTGCATGGGTAGTCTGGGCGATTATTTGCCACCCGAACTTATTTTTAGACCGCTGTTCGAAGGAATCGAGTAATACCCAAGAGGATAAGTAAGTTCGAAACCATCTGGCCGAGCTCGAATCATAAGCTACGGCTGAATACTTCAATAGGATCACGGTAATTCCCTCACAGGTTCACTTGGCCTTCTTGCTCGACCACACAAAGAGTTTTAGGGCCCATGTTCGGTAGTCAACAGGGTAGTTTCCACAGTTCAGATTCCCAAATCTCAAAGATGCGTGGGCGCCGTCCTCAAAATAAACAAAAACATTTTCGCTCAGTCACT